TCACTGTGGTCGGCCTGCCATGATTGTTCGAATGCTGCCTATGACGTCAGTAAAGGATTTCTCATCGGCGGAAATAAGAGAAATGGAAGAACTTCATTTTTGGCGGTATTGGTAGTGTTGGTTTCAAAGCGCAATGATTTCAGGCTTCCACCATGCTAATTACAAATACCATCGAACTTGTTGTTCGGAAGGTAACGACGTCACGAGGGGAAACCATAGGAGGGCGCTACTAAAACATCTCACCGTTAATAGCTCTGTAGCATCGGACTGACGACACGCACTCGTACACTGGCTTGTACTCGCAACGCTTTTGTCATTGACCTGCATCACGTCGATCCACTTACTCTTCGTCCTCAACTTTTACAGCACGCAAACTAACCAATGGTGCAGCGATAAAAAGCCGGTGGAACTGGAACTTCGTTTTCTACAATCGCTCGTACAAAGAGCAGAAAATAAAAAAAAGTCGCAGGCACGGTCACGGAGAGCACGAGGAGTGAAACTCACGTGACTTCCTGCGAACCCACTTTTAGTGACGTATGTCAATGCCTCCCTTCTGACCGCCCCGACACCTTGCGGTACACTGTTACGTCACAGTGCACTGGCGAGAACTTTGAATTGGGCCTCCTATTTCTATTTTTTATAAAAAAAATTACGCACCTCTATAGTGAAACAATTTTTTTTGTAATGTCCTGACATGCCATTCCTACGCCTAGCATGAATTTTTTTTTTTTTTTTTTTTGCGTGTTAGAGGTTTTTTAAAGGGGCAGTGCAACGATTTTAAGGTTGTAAGAATTTACCATTCATATTTCTTATATTGCTTATCGTTCCACAAGTAAGCGAAAACACGAATCTTACCCCCGAGATGCACTGATTCTGCTGCGTAATCATGAAGGAAATAATGAATTATTTGCCGGTCTGCCGCCGCATGCGGCGGTTCCAGGAACTACTGTGTGACGTGCTCTGGGGGATGTCGTTTGTAAGTTAGCGATTTGTGCAATTTCGCGTTAAATTTAAGGTTATTTCTTCAAAATCTTGCCGTTTGAGAATAGTAATGCGTGAACAATATAGTATTATCCCTAAAATATATTACATTTTCGTGGCGCCATCTACCGGAAGTTAACAAAACCCTCCCCCTGCCCTTTCAAAAGTAATAATTGAGTTTCAATTGAGTTCTAATGTATTCAATAATAATACATTAGAAACACAATTGAAACTCATTGATAACTTGTGTAAGGGTGCGCAGCCACCCTCCCCGTAGTTCCCGGATTTGTTCGTGCTGCATGACAGCATCTTGTTTCAACGTGCGTGGGAGCGATGGTTGAACTGCTTGGTCTACCCAACGGTCTGCCGACGTCCCGTTCTGTACCAATAGCACACCTTGTGTAAATATTTATACATATATTAAGGAGCTTGAACAACGTCTCGAGTGATGTCTAGCAGTTTGGTTTGTTCGAGGAGCAGATAAAAGTCTGAACTTTCGTTTCCTTGTGTTTCTCAACGTAAGGTCGTGTCGTCCGCCGCAATCACGGGCGATGCTTACAGGCCTCGGTGTTTTGTTGTGCCCGAACTGAAGTCCTCTGTTCGTAAACCAAAATTTCCTCCACCATCGTCTACCGCACGAGGAACCCCCCAGGGGTGAGTGCTGTCAGAGACCACTACGCCATGACGCCGCGTTGGTCCAGAACACAGTTGACACGGTGTTCAAACTCACAGGAGCAGCGCTCGAGGACCAAAAAACAAAGGCCACAGAGCCCATCCGGAAGTGGCATGATCCCCCAGAGATGTCACTCGCACGTGACTCGGGAGTAATCTGTCGCCGATTCACGAGTTGAGAGGCGCCGAAAACTTCGATCTGTGCCCCTTTTTTATATACAAACTAGCGCACAGAAGCAGAAACGGTTTCCTGTTTTTTGGATTCATAAATGATCGAAACCAACTCCCACAATTATTTGGACGAAGTTCGAAAATCGTTGCACCGTCATGAAACGATATCGGGTTCCAATGTTCATGACTTTACAAAGATGTATGCTTCTCCTAGTCTTGCCCAAAATATACTCGCACAGACCACCACTGACTCAGAAGCTTGTTGGTCGCGGTGGAATTGCGAGGATAAAACGGGACTATTTCTTTCACTCTTCCCTTCGCAAATATTGATGACTTAATTGTAGGATCGAAACAACCCGCCTGACGACAGACAAGCGCGGCACTTGGATTGGAGACGAAAACTGCGTGAGCACTTGACTTCGGCTCGTAACAATCAATGCCTGGGCGGACACTCGGGCAGTGGCTTTTTTTCATGCCCGATTCCCACTAGAGCGACAGACAGAAAGAGCCAACACCGACAACCCTCAAACACGTGCAGTACGCACACGAAGTTGCCTTTGACAGGCTTGCAGTTTCTCGGTGCTCGTAAAGCGAGCACGAGTGAACGTAAGCGTGCCAAATGTACCTTCATGCTCATGTTGCGCGTGTTTGAGGCTTGTCGATGCCGGCTGTTTCTGTTTGTCGCTCTAGTGGGAATCGGGCATAAAATATACCTAATTCAAAAGACAGAGTGGCCGACATCAGTCACCGCGATATCAGTGGTTTGTATGCCGCGTGCCAAGTTTCTCCTTGAACTTGTTGCGATGTGGCATTCAAAGCCCGGAGATTGCGGTGACTCTTGTTTGCAGACTGTCTTTTGTATGATGTATGAGCAGTGTGACCCCGGCTTAAGCTGACAAGATCTCCCATGAACGCTAGCTAGCCGCCGAGCTGAACCTCCTCTCCTTCGACCCTTCGTCGCCTGTCAATGGGTGCGCCGCCCTCCTTGCACGCGGAGACTGCTCTCTCTATTCGCCGTTCACCCTTCAGCTGAGACTAGAAGCTCCGCATTTAGCGCGAGCTCGCTGGCTTCCGCAGTGCTCTCGTTGCGTGGGCCTGCGCGTTCACACCTGTGTTAGCAAGGGCAGAAAGCTCGCGCTGAAGGCGGAGCTTCTAGTCTCAGCTTAAAACGGAGTGTAACCTTCGTCAAGAAGAGGGACTTGCGCAAAAGTGATGTTGACGAATACTGAAAGAGAGGGGGGCTGTTTCTCTCTAGACGTTTGCCAACTAAACTGAATTGTTAGCACAAAACGAATCGTCGATTTTTTCTTACTTCTTTCTGTTTCTGACGGGTATCTAATGTGAAACACTCATATTCTTCAAATAGGCATTTTCAGATTACGCACTTCATCGTTCAAAAGTGGCCCAGTCTGAGTATTCACGACCTTCTTTCCGGGCAACGAGTAAGGCCAGAAAACACTAAATGTTTTCATAAAAGTCGTCACAGCCACGTCCACACACGCGCTCAAAACCTACCATAAACGCGCGCCGAGCAACGACGCGAGTATTCCCGGCGCTCCCGCGGGCTGGGGAAAGAAGCGCGTCCAGACGCGACGTGAAAACGCGACCTTGACAAGAGCTTACTATTAGCGCCGAGATGTTTCGGTGGCGCCCTCTTATGGTTTCCCTCCGTGACGTCACGACAGGGATTTGCCTCGCCGTGACGTCACCAGTTGTTATTCTGGCTACTTACCATCGGGTGCGACGACGAGTTCGATAGTGTGTTTAAAAAGCACAGTAGACGCTAGGAGCCATCGCAATCCGAAACTAACACCGTCAAAGTTGACAATCTGACAGTGCTCATATGCCCGTGGTTTGGCCAATCGTGGAAAGCTGACCGCAGCGACGCTTTTGGCCGCGCACATCGCTAATAGTTTATTGCAACTCAAGAAGGTAGGGCGAGGGAAAGGAAGACCGGGGAGGAGGATGGACCATGAGACGAAATCAACTTGGCGGCTGGCCAACTCTGCGACAGCTGCCCCCAATGGACCTTTTCCAAATACCGACGGCACAAGGCGGTGGCTGCACGAATTAAAAATCGAGGAAGTGACCTACCTGCGCTACCAATCGATAATGGGAGCTACGCTACCAGTTGCTTCGCCCTCTGAGCTACGTCGCATGCCCAACGCGACTTTAAAGAGGGAAATCCGTAGCGTCCACCCAAACGTCGTGTTTCTCTTTCCGTCCACTTTCTTTTTTTGTGTAACACAATTATATATATGCTGCAATTACGTGTTCTACTCGTCGATCTACAGCCTCATTCCGAATTTCCTCGATTTTTCGTGCCGACTTCCACCGCTTGGCATCGGGCGCTCGCGCGTGCGCAGAACGCTTCTCGGAAGAGGTCCATTGCCGCGGGTTTTAAAACGCTTAAAGGAGGATCTGTTTCCGAACGAGGATATAAGGCTTTCTCCTGACGCCGGGGGCTGACGCGACAACAGGAAGAAAACATTTCAGGTTTAAAAAGGAAACGCTTTACGGCGCTTCGATAAAGTCCATACTCGCCGACAAGGTGGGAACGGCGAGGGTTGAATTTCGGTTGTCACGCCTCGAGAGCGAGCTTCCTACCTCCGACAACGCTTCCGCGTCTCGTGCCTTTCGAGCGAGCGCGCTCAGCAAGAGCTCAGCGGATGGCACGGAGCGCGCGCTACTCGAGGCCGGGTGTTCGGAAAGCAGGCCTTAGCATACTCACTCTGTCAGTGACTATGAACAACACCACCTAGAAGACAAGATCCGAACCTCTGTCCCCTAAACGTCATCAGTAGTGAATTGACGCAGCGGCGCCTGGCCGCTGCGCAAAGAGGAGCGCGACGCTAGCAGGTGGAGAGGCTAAGATGGACGCGTCTGCCGCCTTGTGGTCGATCCTCAGCATATGCGATGCTTGGAGCGATGACGTCATGCCGGGGTGATGACGTCATCTAGGCGGTATTGCTATAGGAAGCAGGTAACTCGAGGCTAATGGGCAGATAGTCCTGGCACATCTACGAACCATTCCAGCGCTTATCCTTCGGGCGAAAAATGCCGCGGGGCTGCGGACGCAAGCGCGGCGTCTGCTATTCTGTAAAAACAAGCCACCGCGCGTGCAGAACGCGCAGCCCAGTGGTCAAAGACGGAAGCACGAGAGGCGTCGCACTCACTCCGCATGCTCTCGAGGTCCATCCTGCGGGCGCCGCCAATGACGCGGAAGAGCGAGAGCAGGCAATCCGGGGACAGGTCCAGGCGAGACACGGTCCGGGTCAGGTCCGGAAGGGCCTGGTCCAGCAAGCCGTTGACGAGCACCGACAACTTTTGCCGCACCACATCCCACTCGCGATGCGCGTCCTCCACCGCCGTCGTCCCGTTGGCCTCAGCCTCCGCGCGAGGGGGCGGCGTCGGAGAACATCGTGCTCTTCCGACGACAACGACGGCCAGCAGCAGCGGGACCCATCGGCGACCGTGCTCACGAGTGCGCATGGCGCTTCTGGTGGCTGGGGGACCGCGTCCGACACATTCGACCTTGTCCACGGATGGCTCCAATGGATCGAGTGCGGGCCGCGACGCTTTTAAGTGTCGATGCCTTCCAGGCTCCGCTCTCGCCGCTCGAGCGGCCGATTCTTGGTCAAGGTGGTCCTGAAAGGAGAGGAGGCGGCGGCGCGGCCTCGCAGGCCCAGATCGTCGCCCGCCTCGGTGCAACACCTCCTGAACGAGGCCGGATGGCTCGATCTATTTACGTCACTCACCGTAGGCCGGCGCGGGGCTCATGTCGGCGGTGTGCGGCGTCTGTGGTCGGCTGAAACCCATGTCGTCACTGATCGAACACTCTCAGAGAAAATGGGTATAGTCTTACGCCCCCTTGGTCCATATAATACACCCCAAAACTTCAGTTGGGCGTACAACGTAGTGACGTCGAACCGACGGTACCAACTATCACGTGCGGCTTCATAGCCGAGTGATACAACTTATTAAGATATCAGATGTACGTGTTACAAACTACAAAAAAAATGATGCTTTTTTTTTTAACCCTACTGCAAAACATTAGTGTTTTTTTTGTTTTTGTTTTTTTTTCTGCGGCCTTTGATACGTACTTCAGTTGTTTAAGAAGCTATATTTCCCGTCATCAAGCACCTCGTAAAAGTTAAGACCGTTAGTTTGACGTCACCGCGCTGTCGTCGAACTGAAGTTTTGGGGTGCATTATATGTGACAAAGGGTCTAAGGGCACACCCTTTTTTCTTAAAGTGTAAAAAGAAAATGAATATAGAAAAAGTCGCGATGGCAACGACACGGCGGAAGAAGAGAGAGGATTCGCAGTAAGGCCAGAAAGGGGCTCGTCTGGCTTTGTTACAGCCAAACGCTGACGCGGCACCCCGCGTCCAATCAGGGCCCCGCGATGGCCTCCGACAGGTGACGTGCCAACTTCAGCATCGCAGGCCTTACTAATAGTTGCCGGTTGCAAGCGGTGGCGCGATGCACGCGCCGCGCGTTTCCCTGTGGACGCGACGGTAGCCACGCACGCCCGCTATCGAGCGCGTCGATCAATGGGACCACGACACCGAGGCACGTGCGAAGCGGGCCTACGCGCGGTTTGGACTGCCCGGAATCGGGGAGACAGTGATTCCACCCGCGGAAGTATTTCAGCGCGGAAGGATAGAACCGGGCCGGGTCGTGTGCCCGCGACGTTCTGACGTGTGGCCGGGCCGCCGAAGCCTGCGTCGCCGGCACGTCCGACTCTTTCACCCCTCGATTCGTACGTGCTTTAACTCGCGTTCGCGCGAGACTGCTCACGAGTTCTGATTGTAGGTGACTTAATTCGCGTGAATGACAAAACAAAAACAAAAAATCTGCATCGCGGAAATATAGGTAGCACATTGCTCCGCGCAGCTTCCGCCACTCCCGCTCACGTACACCAATGATAATTCTAGCTTTCGCCGTTGTTTTAGGGGAGCACGCGCATGCTTAGAACCCTTTTTGGAAAAAGGTTTATTAGAGATACTGCTGCAGATGTATCTAATTTCATATCGATTGAGATTCCTACGATAGCTCTGGTGATCGTAATAGCCTGAATCTCGATTCTCGCTATCACTCTCAGCTCCGGTAAAGGAAATGTGCCACTGTAATCGACCGTTTGGAGACTGACTTCCTTTAACTTGCATGCATGAATCGCCTTGTGCGGCTTACACACGTATTGAAAATGCGCCAGGCTTTTACTTAATACACGTGGCGTTAGTTGCCGTACAAGATAGAGCACGATGCTTGAGCGAACCACTGTGACAACACCGTCTGCCATGTCGGTCAGCACTTGAAATGGTCTGTCGAGTTTAACGCACTCAACCTCCCATTCAAATTTTGCGTGCGTGGGCGTCGCGTTTTCGTGGTGCCAACTTTATTGCCAAGGCGCGTTGGATAGCTCTCTCGAACGTCAAATGCGTGTTTTCGAGGAATAAGCGGCATTGTACGTTAATTCGTTACAAACCACAAACGGAATTCTCGCGGAGAAACTCATCGAGGAAATTTGCAAATCCTGCAGGCTCCAGCTTTTGTAGCTCAGTGACGAACTGCTATATATCGATTCTGTTTCTTTCTTACAATTGAAAACGAGCGTGTTGGTTAATAGATACAAAGCTTGAAAGTATAAAACAGAGAGGACGAGGACGGGAACAGAACATCTTTCATGATGTTCTGTTCCCGTCCTCGTCCTCTCTGTTTTATACTTTCAAGTTTTGTATTTGTTTCTTTCTTTATCGTTGATTTGTGCGTGCGCGTCCATCAATAGAGTTTGGGTCTTTTCTCCAATTAACGGAATGTTGCGGATACAGGTGCTTGGCTAGCACTTCAATACCTAGTCTTGCCACAAGTCAGAGCGCGGTCAAAGGCTAGAACACGCGAGCACTTTATACTGCAAGCCCAAGGTCGAGGCGCTGCGCTCCAGGGGTTTCCCCACGAATTGAAATTAGGGGGGGGGGGTTAAATTTTTAGGGGGAGGGGCGGGGGCATTGAGAATAGAGGAATCATTGCCAATTAGGGGGTGCCTTCAGAAAAACAAGGGGAAGGGGATGTAGGAAAATCACTTGTGCGCTCGATTGCGGTTTAGCCCAAGAAAACATAAACATAAAATTAGTCGCGTTTTTGGGGGTTCGCTTCGACTGTCGTATCCTATCGTCTCGAAGCATCGCCTTCCCTCTGGCATAAAATGAAAACGACTATAGCATCCAAATTATATATATGTATATATATATATATATATATATAGAGAGAGAGAGAGAGAGAGAGAGAGAGGAAAGAGAGATATAATAAGCTAGTAACTTGAACAAGGCCTACATTTTTGGCCTACGAGATTGATTTAAAAATGAGCTCCGGTGCCTTATAGAACCAGCTGCAATATACTCCGTTTCGCATCAAGTCCGATCGTAACCAACACCACGATCTGACGGGGCATAATCAAGCAAGGCCAAAAGTGCAACGTCACGGCGTTCGTCGCTTTTGGGCGTTCGCGCAGTGTAGGCCGCCATATCCCGCGCTTTTATCTGCCTGTCATTGGTTTAGCCCGCGATACAAACGCACAAAGACAACGATCGTCATGACGATGCACTTTTGCTCAGTCGGACTCCGCCGGACCTAATATAAAACGGAGTGGAACTACATTTTCCGCATAGATGGACTTCGCTCTTCCCGGCGTGCCTGTATGCATCTCTAAATTTAAAAAAATAGTCATCGAAAAGACCGCGATTGAAAGTGATGTCTAAACCAACGTTCAATTTTTCCCGCCCTTCTTGGTCAAGACACGTCGCATGTAAAACTTGTAGGTCGAGCCGAGAGTCTAAAACAAAGAGTGTCTCGGGCATTTTAATTGCTGCCTGCTGGAGCGAGCTTCATTCATTTCACGCCAAAAATCTCCTGTAGCTCTGAATATCATGCAATTAATACGAAGGTGCGAGTAAGCTGGACAAGAATTACAACAATAATTGCTGGAGAGGGGGAAACAAGGGGGACAAAAGGACAAACACAAATCTCCAAACACAGCTAGGTGACTGGTGCGCGACCGAAAAAAAAATCCGTCTGGTCTTGGTATCCGAATCAAGGACCTCTCTTACCGTTTCCAGTGGAGCGCTCTACCAACTGAGCTAGTTACCCGTCGGTAGAGCAAATGGGTTTTATCAGCCGCCGCCAGTCTACCACCAACAAGGGTGAACGGCCTGCATTTTAAGGTCATAAATGTAATGCAATTTATGCAAAGGTGCAAGCGAGCTGGACGAGAATGACGATAATAATCCCTGGAGAAGGCGAACAAAGGGGGAAAAAGGACGAACACAAATCTCCAAACACAGCTAGGCGAGCGAAAAAATCCGCCTGGTCCTGGTATCAGTATTTTTTTCGGTCGTGCACCAATCACCTAGTTGTGTTTGGCGATGTGTGTTTGTCCTTTGCCTCCTTTGTTCCCCTCCTCCAGGGAGTATTTTTGTCATTCTTGTCGCTTGCACCTTCGCATTAATTGTTTCATGACCGTAAGCTTAAAATACAGGCCGACTGCTTGTCGGTGTTAGGCTGGTGGCAGCTGATAAGACCTGTTTGCTCTACTGACGTGCTGGAGAGGGGGAAACAAGGGTTAAAGCATAAGTTTGGGCTAGTTGGTATTTCATGATTAAAGATTAAAACAGCGCAAGGACACGGACGAGAACAAGAAGGTAGACAAACAAGGCGCTGACTTACAACTGAAGTTTATTCGTTCTAACAGCGAGTATAAATACTGTATTGTCACAACAAACAAACATGAATAAAAAGCTTGACATGGATGCCACGTGCTCACTAGCCATCGCTATGCACTGTCACTGTTTGTCTAAATAGGAACGTTCCCTATCTGACAAAGATAGTGACGGAATGCTGACACAGTTTTGCCCCAATCTTCCAATTTCCCGCGCCTCAATGATTTCCCGAGTGAGTTTGTCTTTATTTTTCCTAATCACTTCACATTTGTCAAAGACGGGAGCGCAGCAACAGTCTCGGCAGTGCAGGCCAAGGTGACCTGACACAACTCTAAACACGTTATACTTGTGCTCCCGCAGCCGATCATTGAGGCATCGCCCCGTTTGCCCGACGATGTGTGGAGGGAGTAGTGTACTCTATTCCCCTCTCGTGTGGCAGGAGATACGTCGGGCAAACGGGGCGATGCCTCAATGATCGGCTGCGGGAGCACAAGTATAACGTGTTTAGAGTTGTGTCAGGTCACCTTGGCCTGCACTGCCGAGACTGTTGCTGCGCTCCCGTCTTTGACAAATGTGAAGTGATTAGGAAAAATAAAGACAAACTCACTCGGGAAATCATTGAGGCGCGGGAAATTGGAAGATTGGGGCAAAACTGTGTCAGCATTCCGTCACTATCTTTGTCAGATAGGGAACGTTCCTATTTAGACAAACAGTGACAGTGCATAGCGATGGCTAGTGAGCACGTGGCATCCAGGTCAAGCTTTTTATTCATGTTT